CTCTCTCTCTCTCTCTCTCTCTCTCTCTCTCTCTCTCTCTCTCTCTCTCTCTCTCCTTCTGAAAATGGTGCATTCAAGCAGCAGCAGAAGCAGTTCCCTCAAAGCTGAACAACACATCAGCCATTAATGAGAGCAAATCTGTAGCCTGCAATTAGGAGGAGGAAGAGGAGAAGAGGAGTGGGGGGGAAAGGCGCAGGAGGCTCGGATGCAGCAGCGGCAGCATCAGGACCAGCGCATCTCTTAGAAACCTGTGAAGTCTCAATCTGCATACCAATAGCTCCAGAAACACCTCAATCAAATAAACAGCAGCAGCTGGATAAACCTGCACACCTTCCCGACACGTCTCTCTCTCTCTCTCTCTCTCTCTCTCTCTCTCTCTCTCTCTCTCTCTCGGCACCGTACCTGGAAGTCATGATGGTCAAAGCGCTTAATTGCGTCCGATCCGATCAACAGATGATCCCGCGGGCGGTTCGTCCTCCAGCTGCGGGCGACAGACAGCGCGACATCTCCGGTCCAACTCCAGGGTTACATGTTCGGCTCAGACAGACCCGACTCTTGTCTCGTGGATATGTGGTGTTGGTGGGGGAGAAGGAGGAGGAGGAGGAGGTGGTGGGGGGGATGAGAGATATAGGCTGAAGGCTGTCCAAATGTCTCCCGATGGCGAGCGTCATCAACGCGAGGCGGTGTCATCTCCTCTTCTTCTCCCCTCCTCCTCCTCTTCCTCCTCACCACTTCGACACAGGCTGCCAAGAACAGACAGCAACCTTCAGGTTCAATCAAATGATAATGATTTTTTTTAAATCACTGAGTGTTAGACCTCTCATCAGAGAGCTCATGTTTGAGCAGCTCCTAAAGGACGAACACAGGATGGATGGGACATAAAAAAAGGCCACATGTGATGATTTGACCTTTTAACCCCATTTTGCTTTTATTTAGCATTATCTTAGCCTTTCTGTAGCAGGACTTAAAAGTAGCAATTTCCAAAACTGACTAAAAACTGCTGAGTTAAAACAACCCAATGTGTAAAGCTGGGTGAAAGGACCTGTAGCCTATTAATCCAGCATATTTGGTAAATCTAGGTTAAAATGATTAATTTGTAGAATTTGAGCTATAAGTCATTTCAGCCATCTTTCTTTTACTTATTCCTAAAGCAGAGCTCCAGTCTGGTCTGAACTGGTTAACGTCTGGCTCTCCCCCCCAACCAGGATCAAACTTTTTGACCCAAACAAAACAGCTTTAAACCAGCAACCAATTGATCAGATTTTAGTGTGTAAAAAAAGGAAGTTGTCCTGAATGTCAACTGGTTTTTGGTGGATTTGTTCATAATGAGTGCATAACCATTTCAGGATTGCAAATGGAAAACAACTTGAGTAATAACTTGGTCTGGCTAGACAGACCTTGGCGTTCAAACACTCGTGACGTTGGCAAAACCACAGCTAAACCAGTAAGTTCAATGTATGGGCAACTGGTGGCCTGTGGGCCGTATGTTGCCCACTAGTGATTAATATCCGGTCCAACAATCAGAACCATGCAGGAGTTTGCACTCATATAGAAGCTAAGCATTATAAACATTATTTTTCTTTTTTAATTGGCAGTTTTATTACATTTGGGTAAGTGTGCAGTGCTATGTGGCCCTCTGATAAAAAAAAACTGGCCCCTTCCAACATTTAAGCCCATCCTTAATCTACTGTTTCAATTTATTACTTTCCTCAAATCTGTGTGTAAATGTGTGTCAGAATAGTCAAACTCTAATGGCTCCATTGACGTCATCATTGTTGATCCATTTTCAGTCACTTCAACTGTTCTCGTTTGAAAACAAACACATTTGTTGGCATCTGACCACGTTTTTTTTTTTTTTTTTTTTAATTTAAAAGACACATTAACAATCAATGTGAGCTAAAAAAATGTGTGGACTAGTTTTGGCTTTATGGATTTTTTTTTTACTTATCATCATAACTTTTAAATGAGAGACTTAAAGAAGCAAAGACATTCAAATAAAGCAAATTAAAGGCACCATGTGGCCTTCACAACTGCATTATCAAGGTTAAATTACACACAGGTGGAATTGATTTACTAATTAGGTGACTCCTAAAGGGAACAGCTGCTCTGGATTTTAGTTGGTATCAGTAAAAAAGGGTGAACATGAATGCATGCCACACTTTACAGATTTCCATTTGTGAATGGAAGAAAACTTAATTAGGTACTTTGTGTTGGTCCATCACCTGAAATCCCTGGAAAATATTTGGTTTGTCCTGATGCACCACAGTAATCCAGGTGGAGAAATTTAAAAAAAATTAAAAAGCTCCTCTGGACGGGTTCTTCTTTAACGCAACGTTTCATCTCTCCTCCAAAAGTCTTCTTCAGTCTGATGAGTTTCAGGTGAACTCAGCCTTTTAAGCACTGCCTCCACATGGACAAACAGTTTTAACCAACATCAACACAGTTCACAAGCAAAGGTGGACCATCAGCCTAACAATAAATCATTAGTTCCCTGATCATCACCTACTGTTATAGAGGATCTTGTGGACATGAAAGTCTCGCATCTGTTTTTCTTCACAAAGATGGCTTCCTTTACACCTCTCTCAAACCAGTGTTCCCCTCTATCCAGGATGAGAACATCTTAATCCCTGAAAGAGTGACCACYGGCCTGTAGATGAGTGTAAACTGCAGAGTCCTGGCCTGATGGTGTAGCTCTTGTGTGTTGGCCCAGTCTTTTGAACAGTGGCTGTTTTGTTTCCCTGATRTCACAGTGCTCCAGATATTTTAACAGTATACACAACATTACTCTGTTTGTGCTGGAGGACCGGATTTATTGGGGTGAACCAGTCTTTGCTATAATGTGTTTTGAGGTTTGAAAGCAACTGGGACCACMTGTTTAGARAATAAAGTCTCAGTTTCTCTGAAACCCCTGCAACGTATGGAATACTAGTCACTAATCTGGGATTATCTTGACATTGTGGTTGAATTGGGTTGTGTGATGGTGGCTGAAGAACAGAGTTCCCCAAACTTTTCCCCTGTCTAAAAGATTAAAGCCAGCTACAGCGGGTAAAATAAGTATTGAACACGTCACCATTTTTCTCAGTAAATATATTACTAGAGGTGCTAATGACATGAAATTTTCACCAGATGT